TATTCAATATGATTGATGGATGCATTTTTATTTAATGTGATTAAACGAATGTAATTTATCGAGACCTGCGAGTCTTTTGATTTATTGTTTGTAAAATTTTAAATTTTTGTATCGTTAAGAGATTAGATCAAGGTGGAGATCGTTCGATGCGAAAGGCCCACGCATATGTGGGTAATTTTAAGTTGTAAATCTCGAAGGTCTGTGCTTGTACGGGTAGATAAATAAAATTGTAATAGAAGTAGTTCTATTTATTTGTTTTATCACGTACATAGGCATATACTCATTATGGCTCGAATGGGTCGTATAGGCAAGGACATGATCATCCCACCGTATGCATGCATTAGATGTATGTTAGGTTTATTTATGCATGTGATTCATGCGATGAATAATGCGGTAAATAAACACACGTAAAGATGGTAATTAATGAGATCTAAGGAACCCTTAAGAATTAATTTGATTAATTCTATATCAAATCATTAATGGATAAAAATAAGTTGGAACTTATTAATCCAGGCCTTCCATCAAAAGTAGACGATATGAGATGCTATGATGCTTTATCACCGACCATGAGTCGTGGGGTGGTTTTGTGTCGAAAGCTGTGATCCCTACTAAGTATGGTGATACTCGTGAGGTGGATTCCTCTTTATGTTGACCATGAGTCATTGGACATTCTGGTGGGCCACTATCATGAATGTTTGATGGGTTTGATCTGACACTTAGTAATATATACGGTCATAAAATTGAGGTATATAAGGAAAAGTGAGGCAAAATATCTTGAAGGTTGTATAATGATACAATTGTCAAAAGTTGACTACCGATATAAATGTTTCATGCGTACTCATAAAATTGGGATATGGAATAATTTTATTGGAATTCAAGCCCACTATGAAAATTAGATTTTCATAATTAAAATGGGGTTTTAATTAAAATAGTGGGAGACATTTAATGTTAAAGACCAAATATTAAATGAATATAAATTCCATAGTCTGATTATTTTCTGCTTCGTTTGTTTTTGTAGATCACTCTACTAAAACGGCTAAGAATCCAATTGCAAGTATCCTTGAACAAAACAAATTAACTGGACCCAATTTTAATGATTGGCTGAGGAACCTGAAAATTGTTGTACAGTCTGAAAAGAGAGACTATGTATTGGACAAAGCCCCTCCTCCTCCACCCGAGGATCAGACATCTGATGTGTATGGAGAATACTTACGTCATACTGATGACAATTTCCAGGCTCGGTGCTACATGTTAGCATCAATGTCAAATGAGTTACAGAGACAGAACGAATTGTTGAATAATGCTTCTGAAATCCTCCTTCATCTACAAGAGTTGTATGGTGATAGGACGCGGCAAATTAGATATCAGATATCTAAAGAGATTTTCAGGTGTCGTATGACTGAGGGCTCTTCAGTTCATGACCATGGGCTAAAGATGATATCTCTTGTTGAAAGGCTTTCGTCCCTTGGAGTCATTATGGATAATGAACTCTATATGGATCTCATGTTGCAATCTCTGCCATCGTCATTTGATAGCTTTGTTGTTAACTTTAACATGCATAATATGGAGACTTCTCTGCCAGAATTAGTGAACATGCTAAAGACGGCTGAATCCACAATCAAAAAGGTTAAGCCGGTACTTCTTGTTTGATCCACTTCTGGATCAAAGGCTTTAAAATCTAAGAAAAGGAAGGGGAAGGGAAAGGTTCCCAATAAACCCAACAAGAAGGCAAATAACAACAAGGGGAAGAACAAAGAGAAGGTTAATTCTCAGTCTAATCATGAATGTTATCATTGTGGTAAAACTGGGCATTGGAAGAGGAACTGCAAGGAGTATCTTGCTAGCCTAAAAAGTTCAGGTATTTATTTTGTTGAAGTTAACTTATCAGTTAACGATTCTTCTTGGGTATTGGATACCGGCTGTGGCTCACATATTTGCAATGATTTGCAGATGATGGCAAGAACTAAAAAGCTAGAAGATAATGAAACAATCCTAAGGATGGGCAATGGAGCAAGAGTTGCTGCCAAAGCAATTGGGACTGTTTATCTAGCTTTAAATAATGATGTAAAAATTTGTCTTACAAATTGTTTGTATGTTCCGGATGTTATAAGAAATATTATTTCTATTCCAGTAATGGATAGAGAAGGTTTTAAGTTTGTTATTGAGAATGGAAGATGTTCCATTTTCAAAGATACAACTCTTATATATTTCGGTAATTTGACAAATGGGTTATATACCATTACACCACAAAGTCCCATTCTAACTATTCAACAAAATAAAAGAAAATTAGATAATCATAGTTCATTCACACTTTGGCATGCTCGATTAGGTCATATATCTGAAAAGTGGATTAACAAATTGGGACCAAAACTCGACCTTAGGGGAGAGAAAAGGTTGCCTACATGTGAGTCATGTCTTAAAGGTAAAATGACAAAATCACCATTTGTTGGACAAGTGGAGCGAGCTAAAGGTCTGTTGTATTTGATCCGTACAGATGTTTGTGGACCACTAAATGTTAGTGCCAAGGGGAACTACTACTATTTCATAACTTTTACTGATGATTATTCACGGTATGGTTATGTATACCTATTAAGGTACAAATCTGAAGTATTTGAAAAGTTCAAAGAATTCAGAAATGAAGTAGAGAAACAAATTGGTCGTAGTATAAAAGTTCTTCGATCAGATCGAGGAGGTGAATATTTGACCAATGAGTTTCTTGATTATTTAAGAGATAATGGGATTATTTCACAGTGGACATCTCCTGGAACTCCACAACTCAATGGGGTTTCATAAAGGAGGAATCAAACATTGTTGGACATGGTTCGATCAATGATGAGTTCCACTAGTTTACCTCTTTCATTCTGGGGCTATGCCTTAGAAACAGCAGCACATATTTTGAATAGAGTGCCAAGTAAAGTTGTACCCAGCACACCTTATGAGATATGGAGTGGTAAAACACCCTCGTACAAGTATTTAAAAGTATGGGGTTGTACTGCTTATGTGAAGCAGTTAGTGGGAGGTAAGTTGGATATGAGATCCATCTTATGTAAATTTGTGG